AATTTGACACAAAGGAATTTCAACTCTTGTTAAAGAGTAAATTTAACACCAGTTCAGAGTGGGACCAAATACACTCGGAAACTGTTAAATTTGATTACAAGTGTTGATTTAACACTGCAAAATTTACTGTGAATAAATAAAATGGGCACTGGTAGACTAATGGTCTTTTTCAGCTGGATTGATTTGTTGATTTCTCTTTGCCTCGTGCTCTTTTTATTTATTTCCATGTTCTCGTTCGCTGCAGCAGCAAGTTGCGCCTCGAGTGTTAAACACCGACCGATCTGCTCCACCTGTTCAACTTCTGTCAAAAGTCAGGTGTTCTCGTGGTGCCACCTAAAAATACAACCGTCTCGTACCTTTTGTTCTGAACTCTGGTTATTAGCAGTGTATTTATCCTGCAGAACAAAACGAAGTTTCATTAGAAGCAGTTTGCAGAAACTCCACAGCCCCGGTGCAACAATTACAAGTTCGAGTCTCGGAGTGCACGAACATGTGAGCGCCCTAACTTTAAAATCACTTGTTTCCACTGTAATTGTTTTAAAGCATCACCTTTTAATTTATTCCTGCCAGTGGTTCAACACTGAAATAAAACAACTTCACAGCTCAAATTAAAATATGCTCTCAAATGCTTTGACCTTATATATTTAACTTAATCATTAAAAAAAAAAAAAGTTTTTTGTTTTGACCCAATCAATAAATCCTTTGAATGACAGATGGGAGATTTTCTCTCCATACCGCCCTCTGGTGGTGCTTTCTGTTACAACAGTGGTATACATTCAATTTTGCCTCCATGCATGAGAATTCACGCCTCCATCTGCTGTTCACGTGAGGTTCCTGCAGATGTTTCAGTGCATCACTAAATAAAGCAGTGGGTCATTCAGCAATCCGAGATCGTCATTGTTCCATACAACAGTGAAATTAGTTCTCTGCATTTAAAACATATGCACCCAGGTGGAGCAGCGGGCAGCTATGCGAGCACCCGGGGAGCACTTGGGGATTGGGTGTCTTGCTCAAGGACACCACGACATGTGGGAATGGTGTGGTCCATCTCAGCCCCAATAAAAGAAAGGAAGGGTCCACGTTTTTTTTTAAGATTTATTAAACTTCAACTTTGCATACATAGAAAATACCTAGAAAGCTACAAAATATGTAAAGTTGTGGAGAAGGCATCGTAATGTTACGGAGCGAAGACAAAGACCATGAGCAGGACACGGAAACAGCACAGCTTCTTTTCTCTTCGTGGCTCCAACACTTTACGCTCATGGAAACGAAAAGATATCGCACATCTGCACCAAGAAAAGCGAAGGGACACGTTTATACAAAACACTTCTTTACAAATAATATTAATAATTAAAAAAAATAACAATAATCTGCACACGAAACCAACGTGATGAATGAACGACCGCTACGTGAAAAGTCACCATCAGCGATAGTCATAAAGCAGACAGGTACCAGCACCTACTCTGAAAATACAAATAACAAAAGCTAAACCGCTGATATGTTTGTAGCATGATTGAACTTAACCGCCCGTGTCCACTTTCCCTCCAAGTGGTCCAGCAGACGTTTATTTGTGCCGTCGGCGGCGTCAGTCCTGCTGTTTTAGTGTTAATCCATGAGAAGTGCAGCAGAGACAACATTCCCGTCGTAACGGACTCGCAGTAATATACAAACGATGTCATCACAAAACCAAGTGTACAGGAAGGAGAAGAAATCAAGAACACCTCGCACTACAGTAATCGATAAACGTGAACAGGTACGCAGGATAAACAGAAGAGAAAACCGTTTTCCATGTCCGTGGTGTCCCCAGGACTGTGGCAACACTGAAGTCTGCCAACGATCCGTAGAGTCAAACATCTCGCATGATTCTAATCTGTCTGCGTAAATATGATCCTTACAGAATTAACAACGATGCTCCCATTCACTCCAATATAGCAGCTGGGAAAAAAACAACACAATTTAATTTGAGATAAAAATTTAAAACAGATGAGTTCTGATGCAATGTGAGTTTTTACTGTAGAATTTCTGCTCGTTAACTTTTGAACTGAAAACACTGACAGCACAGTTGTGTAAAAAATCAACAAAAGTAACTTTTTTTTTAGATTTTCCCTAAATGTGAGAAACTTTTTTTTTTTTTTACAAACACTTGAGCCTGCAAGTGTGCATGAAGCAGACAGGAGATGTAAAGAAATAAATAAATAAAAATCAGTCTTTTCAAAGTCTGAGCTCATGCAGAAAAAAGTGATTTCTCCAAATACACACGTTTAAAAATCCTCTTACATTGGAATTAAAATGAATATATGCTTTGTTTATTTAATCGTATTTTTCTCGTGCTGCCTCGGTCCTTTTGAATAAAAGGCAACGTGGTGACTGTTTTCAGTTACATCTCGTTTTTGGTCAAGCTAATTTTCTTTTTTTTTTACGTTTGATTAAAATAAAATAAAACAAATCCAATCAAAGGCACTTTCTCCACACGACAGCAGAGTCTCCGGGTTGGTGCTTTTGGTCTTCTGCGACAGGAAAGGCGGTGTTTGTGAAACTCACAGAACATCATCAGTGTCAAAAAATTAAAATTTAACTTCTCTTTGAACTTAAAAACAAGTTTAACCATTAGAAGAGGTCGACTGATTAGTGTTTTTCAAAGGCTGTCAGCTGATAATATTGATGAAATCAGGTATTTTGACCTATAAACTCTTTCATATTCATATATATTCATAAAAATGCACATTTTGAAAAAGAAAACCGCAAATAAAGAAACTGGGGCTGATATTTATAACGCGCCGTGTGACGGCAGGACCACGACTCTGAACTTGTCTAGCAGAATCTAATTTACTGGGAAAGGGTTTTATATTCTCACACTCGTTTGCTCACATTTGTGTTAAAAAAATAAAATACAGACGTCATTAGAGATATTTTTAGTAACTTCTGATACTTGAGGGGAAAAAAACCCCCGTGTGGTGTGAAATATAACAACACATCATTGTCCACAGATTAGCCCTTCTTTTAACAGGCTCTGGCATAATGAATTATTTAAAAAAATATTTGAAATTTAGCTAAATTTAGCCTTATTAATTGTCTGACCCATCGGCCTTTAAACAGTGTACAGCATCTTAAAATAAAAATAAGTAAATCCGCATTTCTAATTTGCTTAAGTGTATTTTCTAACAATGTGGACAAAGTCATTATTTCTGTGTTGTACAGAAAACTGAAACCCAACAGACGGTGAAGCGTACATCCTAAGGCACTGAGCACTTCCACTTTGGCAGATTGTACACACACTGCAAACATAAAGGGTCTAATGTAGAGATCACAGTTTTAGTGTCTTCTTTTGGAGTTTGCACACAGTTTTAACATGTTTAAGGCTTAGGATTGATGCAGGCAACGGAGACGTGTGAACTACAGTATTTTCCGGAGTATAAGTCGCATCTTTTAAAAAAAAAAAAAAGCATCACGAAGAGGAAAAAACATAAATAAGTCCCTTCGGCGTATAAGTCGCATTTATTATGCATCACCACTGAACTGTCACGTGCATTATGCGTTTATTTAATGATCAAAACAGCTTCATTTCGCCTGAGCGGCATGGTGCCATGCATCCATCCATCCATCCATCCATGCATCCATCAGGGCTGGAGCCGCTAGCTCTCCATTGTTCCTCCACCTGCACCAGCTGAGTGAAGTGAACGCTCAGTTCTCAGTTTAACTTTTCCTTAATAAATGCACTTTAATGGTCAAAACGGCTTAATTTCGCCTGCGCGGCGGCGCCATCCATCCATCCATCCATCCATCCATCCATCCATCCATCCATCCATCCATCCATCCATCCATCCATCCATCCATCCGGGCTGGAGCCGCTAGCTCTCCATTTTTCCTCCGCCTGCACCAGCTGAGTGAAGCGAGCGTGCACGGGAGGACTCGCTGTTGCAGTTCTTAGAAATTTAAAGTGTCAGTCGAAAATCGTCTTATGATTATGGAAAAAAAAAACGTATATAATTTGCAGGACTGACAAATCTATGCAAAAAACTGTGACTTATACGCCGGAAAATCCAGTAGTTGTAATTACAAAGGCAGCAGCTGTTTGACTGGAGTTATTACACTAAAACCCAACAAGGGGAGGAGGGAACGTCCGAGCGTAAAGAACAAGACATGCCGTCTCCAAGTGGTTTGTAGTGTGACGGTAATTTAAATGGCGGGTTTAAAACCACAGAGCAAAAGCAAGCATCACTAAAGTGAGCACGGGGAGGGGAACAAAGTGCTTTTGGACCAGATGAGTCCAATTCAGAGTCATTTTAGTCGTAAAACCGGTCTAGAAACTAAAAATACTCGAATCAGTTGTCACAGTGGAAAGATTTGTTTGTAGGAAAGAAAGAGCTTAGCATGTTTCTACATTTACAGAGCAGAGGCAAGTAAAACGTTTTGTTTTCACAGTGCATTTATCCTCTTGGTCCTGTCTAAGAACCGGAGCGCTCCAGAAAAGATGGACGTGACTGAAAGCCACGTCTGTTTTCCTCAAAAACAACCTTGCTTGTTCAGCTACTGCATGCATGTAGTGTGGCTTTTGTGTTTCTTTGGGAAATCTATTTGCTGTGTGTGCATGTCTGTATATCTACATTATTTATGTTCACAAATTTTAAAGCACACACGTCCAAAACGACCCCAAGACTCACTGTACAGACAACCACAACCCGCGAAATCCCGTTTTTTCTTAGTTTACATAACAACGCACGAGACAACACATATTTCCATTTACCAAATTAACCTAGTAAATTACTTTGAAAGGGATATTTATATACGCATCAGAGACATATGTGAAAAAGGAAAACTCCCATGAAAAGATGAAAACAGCTGTACCGTATTCACAGCCACCGTCAAACGACAAACACTTGAAAGAGACAAACGGACCCGTCAACCAGCGCAGGTTTGACTTCATGTAGAGCCACGGCCACTCCTTCTGAGGTTGATAAGTCCATGAAAATAAGAGAGCGTCTTAAGAGCTGCTGAGGCTTTCATTCCTTTACCAGCCTGTAGATGTGATGCTGGGCGCCGTGCTCGCTGTTTGAAACCTCAAACACGCACGCCATACACAGCAGCGTCTCCTGGGTGTCCCTGTTCGACACCACCTGCGAGAGAAAACAAATCGACATGTAGACGAGCAGCACTTAACTCGAATATAAAAAAGAGTTGACATGTTTTCCAACTACCGTATTTTCTGCCGTACACGTCACATCAGTCCAAATATGTCTAATAAAGTGGATAAAACCATAAATATGTCGCTTCGCTGTATAAGTCGCGTCTATTAAGCGTCACCGCTGACGCGTCGCGTTTGTTACACGTCACCCGCTGTGTTGTGCCCAAAATCAATTGGCTGCCAAATGGTGGTTACGGGAGCGTGCACGGGAGGACTTTAACAAGATTAACATTTAAAAACAATTGTTTGTTTTCGCAAAATTATATTAAAGTGTGTCTCAGTCTAACTTTTGCTTAATAAATGCACTTTGACGGTGAAATCAGCTGCATTTCAAAAGCCGATTCGCGGAAGCGGGAGCACGCAGAGGGATGATTGGCTGTGTATTTCTTCATAATTTAACAAGATAAGCATCTAAAAACAATTATTCGTTTGCTCGACATTATAGTAAAGGTGTGTCTCAGTTGAACTTTTACTTAATAAATGCACTTCAATGGTCAAATTAGCTGCATTGTGCCGGGGCGGCGCAGCGAAATGAAGCTGATTTGACGGTTGCTCCAGGCGAGCTGGACGAAGGTGGCAGGTTATGGCAAGCTGATTGTGTCATTAATAGCCACTTTTAGCTATTACATGACACAATGGCATGCTATAGTACTCTAGTGCCATCTAGTGGCTGAAAATGGTAGTGTTCAATATTTTCAGTCAGAATGAATGAAAACGGTCATATCTCAGCCAAAAATTGGTTCATAAATATGGAAAAATATCCATAAGTAAGTCGCTTCGGCGTGTAAATTATGCAAAAAACTGCGACTTATAGGTCAAAAACTACGGTAGCTAGAAGAAAAACAATGCAACATAAAAATATTCAAATTCAGCACCTGATTTTTGTTTTTAATGTAACACCCAAAAAGAAAGCTGATAAAACACACAAGAGGAATAGAAAACTTGTTTAAAATACTTATTAGGTTCATTTTCACATTATTTATTATTTTCATTTAATCATAGTATTTGCGATTAAATGTATTTGTTTATTTTTGTCTCCTTTCGGCTGCTCCCGTCCTCAATCACACGAAGATTTGGCAATTGTTTTTATGCCGGATGTCCTTTCTGACACAACCACAGACACCGAGCTACCACAGCCTCTGTGTGGAGCAGAGAGCTGCCATCTAGGGCGCCAGAGGGTGGTGGTTAAAGGCTTTGCTCAAGGGCCCAGAGTGGGGAAAATGAGGGTGGAGGCTTCACCTTTCCCACCCACATTTTGATGTTGTTGAACCAACAGTTGAACGGGCGACCTTCCGATCATCGGCCCACCCTCTACAGCCTCTACCCCACCACTCCCCCAATATTTGCGACTAAATCCGTCATATAAAACACAAACATACTGGTCTATTCAACTAAAACAATATAAACGATCAAAAGCTTAAACACGTTCACACATCGTTTGTCAGATTTATAAGTCCAAACATGCAAATGGCTCTTTCTGCTACCTTGAAGTCAGATCAACCTCAACATGCTGAATTTCAGCTTTTTTAAATTAAAAGTATTTTCCTCCATAGGAGCGCAACAATAAACTTTCAGTTCCAATAAAAGAACTGTAAAGTGGCCAGTGCAGGTTGTAAATTTAAAACCTGTCACAATTTAAGAGCTCTATCCATCACGGTGACACTGGTAATGTGATTGATGTGTCAGTGCTTATACTGTATGTTTAAGAATAAATGTGGAGAAAAGACTGTATTGACCCAGAGACGTTGTATGGATGTGTGTGAGTGGGTGAATATGGCCTGTATTTTCACAACTGCTCATCAACACCGTTGTCATAAAAAGCACCAGCATGTGGGTCAGACTAACAGCATCTGTGAACAAGCGTCACCCATACCTCATAATGAACTCAGGTGCTCTGGCCAGGTTCTTAGACTTCCTCAGACTGAAGAAGTCTTTTGGATAAAAGACGAAACATTTCAACAAAGAAGAATCCGTCCATAGCACCTGACTTAACCTGGTTAGGTTTATCTACCTGGATTATTGAGCAGCATCAGGACAACAGAATCGAATGTTCCACACACAATGTGAAAATAGATTTGAGCAAAAAACAACAGCAATAACAAAAAATACAGTGTACTCCATATACTCTCCCCCCTGTAGAATCGCCACCTTAATGTGGTGGAAGGGTTTGAGTACCCCTGTGATCCTGGGGGCTTTGTTGTTGGGGGCATCAGCCCCTGGTAGCATCTCCCATGGCCAACAGGCCTTGGGGGAAGGGTTAAACTAAGAGCGATTCAAAACCTTGATTAAAAAACAACAAAGGCATCAGGAAACCTTGCACGGAAAAGAGAAATTGGGGCACCTCCCTGGAGCCGGGGCTGTGGGGGGAGCTCGTCAGTGAGTGCCTGGTGGTGGAGGCTTGGCTCCTGGGGCATAGATGGACCAAGCCCAAAAAAGAAAAACAGGAAGCCACCTCCACGTGGACCCACCACTGGCAGGGAGGTCTGTCAAGGTCAGGTGCTGTACATGCTAGGTGGCAGGTGAGGGAGGGTCCCTGGCGACGCTGATTCTTGGTAGCATAGACTAGTTCTAGGGACTTGGAATGTCACCTCACTGGTGGGTAAGGAGCCAGAGTTTGTGAGGTTGAACAATGCCAGCTAGATATTGTTAGGCTCAGCTGAACGCAGAGCTTGGACTCTGAAATCCAACTACTGGAGAAAGGCTGGACTCTCACCTACTCCAGAGTTGCTCAGGGAGAGAGGCGTTGGGCAGGTGTGGGGACACACACAAGTCCTGGGCGGAATGCCCAAGGCTGGCTGCCTCTCTCGGGCTGCAGAAGAGAAAGTTCTGACTTGTTTGTGCTTATACACCAAGCTTCAATTCAGATTAACAAGAATTTCTGGAGTCTCTGGATGGTATCCTGGAAGGGGTGCCATTTGTGGATTCCCCTGTTCTACTGGGTCACTTCAATGCCCATGCGGGCAATGAGGAAGTCATGTGGGAGGGGATGATGGGGAGGAACGGTCTCCCTGATCTGAACCCAAATCAGCCCAGCCCACCAGGAAATCTCCAGACCCTCCTGCAGCCACGCTGGACCTGATTTTAATTCGCTTGTGACAAATTCCTTAATTTCTCACAATTTCAGTCATGGCGCCAACGGAGGAGGAGGAGATCGCGGCCTCTTGGCAAAAAAACAAAAGGCCAGATCAGGGATGAAGAAGGGGAATTTAATACATTGGTGTCGCATACAAAACAGTCCGTCGCCGAGCAGTTTACTGTGCGACACAGAGTACTCGTACATAAAAATTTAGCTTTGCACGGACATGCCCTGCAGGAGTCTGCTTCGACTCTAATCTGGTACGCCCGAGTATACTGGGACCTTTAGCCTTAGAGATAGGGTGAGGAGCTCCTTCATCCGTGGGGGAGCTCTGAGTAGAGTCACTGCTCCTCCACATCATAAGGAGTCAGCTGAGGTGGTTCAGGCATCTGATTAGGATACCTCCTGGATGTCTCTCTTTAGAGGCTCCTACCAGTGGGCACGTCCCACTGGTAGGAGCCTCTAAGGAAGACTCAGAAGTTGCTGAAAGGACTGTGTATTTTCTCTGGCCTGGGAATGCCTCAGGGTACAGAACTTGGGTTCCAGAACAAGCTGGAAAGTGTTGCCTCCCCAACCCGACTACAGATAAGCGGTAGAAGATGGATGGAGATGGATGCATACATTGTTAGCACATTTAGCAATAAACTTTAGGTTTTTCTTCATGTCTAAGGTAACACCAAGCTTCACGCAACAATTAATGAAACAAAATTAATTAAAAATTCCTTTCTTAAAAATTGTTTATTTTGATCTTAATACTTTATTAAGCTAAATAATACTTTGAGCAATAGGTTAAAAAAATCCTATAAATGAAAATCAGTGAATTGAATTAAAGGAACTGCTTCTTTTTGGGTTTGGTTCATGGGTACAAAGTTTGTTTTTATCGTTTATTGAAAGCTCGAACATTGTTCCAATTTTTACACCTTCCTGTGACTTTTGGAGGCTTTGTGCTTCATTAAACTTATCTAGGGTGTGCTGTAGTTTTTTAAGAAGCATGGGGAAAAAGAGCTTTAGATCTTCTGCACATTTAAGCTTAATAAAGGAGTTTCATTTTATGGCAATAAAGATAAATATTTGAGTTAGTATGTGGTTTATTCACCTTTTCAATGTTCAGTTCAGAGTGTCAAACACTTTTTGTCTCTTGCAGGCTTTCTGCTTCTTGGAAACACTTAGTCTTTAACAACTCGGTGAGTGGTTGGCCACTTATTAATCTACGATCATTTCTAAAAGCATCTCAAAACAAGACATAGTTTTAAAAAACTCAAGTGTAAGTAGACTCAGTCTTCAATGGCTTGAAGACTTTTTGGCAGCATGATGGCTTAGTGGTTAACACTGTTGCCTCACAGTAAGAAAGTTCTTGGCTCAATCCCTGGTCTGGACTTGGGTTCTGTGTGTGGAGTTTGCATGTTCTCCTCGTGTTTGAGTACTCCGTTTTTCCAAGAACATGCATGTTAGTGCACCTTCAGGCCCAGACATCCCATGAAAACGAGATCTGTGATCTCAGTGGGATACGCCTGGTTAAATAAAGGTGAATTAAAAACAAAACAAAAAAGATTAGAAGTGACCATAGGGCAAAAATCTCAGTCCAGCTCCCAATATTGTTAATTAAAAAGAAAACAACTTTAAATAAGTTGATGAAAACCTGCATTTTACCAATGAAACTTGAAGAAATCTAAATGAAAGATCTTGGACAAAAACAACAAAATCTTTGGCATTTAAATACGTTAAACCTTTTCTTTTAAGTCGTTGCATTTCCAGAACTAGACAGAATCTTAAAGACTCCAAAAAGCAAACATATCCATTTTTTTTTCCTATTTAAGCTAACAAAAATATTGTCGTAAGGACAAGTTTACAGTAAGAACCGTATTTTTTGGACTATAAGGCGCATTAAGCGAAACAAAATAGTCAGATAAGTCTAACTTTATTCAACTCATTCACAATAACCACATAAAATCGGTCCCAGGTCAGTAAACACAACCAGGATTAATACATAAGGTGCACCAGATTATAAGGCTCACTGTCCATTTTTGAAATATAAAAGGAGTTTAAGTGCACCTTATAGTCCGAAAAATAAGGTATGTCTTATATTCCTAAAGAGAATTGCAGAGACATATTTTTATCAAGCTAACTACACTACATTAAGAAAAAGCAGGAAAAAGTCATCAAGATTATCTGTATTAAGAAAATATTTTCCAATTCTCTACGCAGCCTTTCATTTGCTTTAAATATCTTGATTAGACCCACTGGAAAAACATGACGCCCACCCATGCTTCAGATGCTATTGGACAAAAATAACCCAAGTTAGTTTTGCATGTACACATTCGTAGATCCGTCTGTCTTTTTTAATTATATTTTTCTTTCTAAGTAGTGATGAGTGACACCTAAGACCCCATGTGATGGCTAATAACAGGGGATCTGCCCTCTCGTTCCCTCTTTCCCCTTTCGATAATGAGGCTCCTGGGACGGCGTTTCATCCTCTGAGGAATGAAAGGAATGTCAGCCCAGCAAAAAAAGACAACTGGAGCCACCGACACATCCTGGCAGAAAAGAGCAGAAGAATGAGAGCCCTGCAGAGGGACGCGGCCCACGGAGGTCAGAGAGGGGATTACCAATAAGATGGTGAAGTTCTCCAGAACGCTGTTCATCATATACTTCTCCGGCAGATGTTTGAGCTTGTGGATGAAGTTGATCATGTATTCACACATGGGGGACCGGCTTATCCGGTACACAAAGCGTCCATTTTCAAACCGTGCATATTCAGTCTAAGAAAAATAGAAGAATGAAAATGCATAAATAAAATTGCAGTAATTTAAATTCCGGCTGCTGCTTTCGCTCATACGATGAAAGAACAAGACTTTACCTCTACTTTCTCAACGACCTGCTTGCCAAAGGAGCAAACCTTTGTTGAACACGTTATAGTCATGTTCTCCGAACTCTCGTACTGACTGCTGACGCCATAGAAAGATCCAGTATCATCTTGAACGCTGCAGTTCAAGTCAGCCTGAGGACAAAACGAGAGCAAACGTTCACATTTTTATTCGAGGTCGTCTACTCTGAAAGTACCATCGAAAAAAAGAAAAAACTAAATATTAGAAATTGTGTTGGTAGAGAATAAGAACGGAGTACATTTTGAGTCAAAGGTTGCCACAGGGTTAAGGTAACAAAAAGAATGTTAACGTTTAAGCTACTTAAAACTACACAACCGTTCATTTAAGGTTTCTGTAAAGTAGAAATTATTAATCTATTAGCAACTATGTCTGAAAACAGAATAAATAAATAATTGTATCAATACATAGATTTTTGATCGTATTAAATATAACAGTATTTTAAATTGTACCAAAGTTTTAAATCAGGTGACCGTTAAACCTGCTGCAGATTATCACAGGTACATTTTAACTCTGTTTTGTGTCTAAACAATGAGCTGCAGCAGCACCGACCTTCTACCTACTGATGTATAGCACAGAGCAAAAAACAACAACAAAAAAAAGGTTTATGATTTTAAAAATATAAATTGAATTAATGTCAAACTTTACAAAAAAATAATTATTATGATGCAACAAATCTTAAAATTAAAACTTATGGGTGCGTTTCATAATAAAAACGGCCAATTCTGAATTGCTGGCTGTTCCAAGAAGTGAGATTATTGGTTTAGAGTCAGAGTTTAGTTTTACAAAGAAGGCTTTATTTGAGGTCGGTAAGATCACCATGGCACCAGAGTCCGGTTAAATTGTCTGTAAGAAGCTCCATCCATTCTCAGATTATTTTTCTGATATACCCCAGAAAAAAAATCATACTGAAAATGAATTTCTAAGTCATAAAACAAACAAATATATAAATTTTGATGCCTACGGCCCCTAACAAATAGGAAGCGGTATGCACCGGGCTCGCTGCAGGTGGCATGCCCAGAGCAGAGGAAAAGTTCAGAGCTGGCTGCTAGGAGACTAAAAAGACGTTCAGGAAATAACTCGTTTTAAATGCAGCATTTATTTAACACAGAAAAGACCTGGCAACACATTTATCGAAAGGGAGGAGAAGAAAAAGGAGCAAGCAGCAGTTTTTAATATCCTCAGAGTTTGAAGATTTTAAGAGCACAAAGTGAAGATCAGATGCACCCTCATAATCAACAGATTATCAACGTCGTACACCGAAGGTCTGAGTCCCATTTGAAAAAGTGCGTTAATGCATCTGTGTTGGAGAAAATAGAAACTAACAAGAAATAAATGAAGTTACATTAAAAGACTGATTTACAAGGTTGAGCGTCCTGTTCCTGGAGGGCAGCCTTTCTTTGCCCTGAACATCCTGCTCATTACGGACACAAAAAGGAGACATTCTCCCAACAAAATTCTCCTCCTTCATTAAGCAAAGCAGTTACGCATTCATTATTGTGCAGATTCTGCCTTTCATTTGAAATTTAGATTTGTCGGTCACTTCAAAAGGAATTTGAGGGGACTTAGTCCAAGTGTGTACGGGCTTACTTTGTTGGCTGCCGCTTGTTAGCATTTTACATCAGGGCGGAAATACATACAATGTTTAAAGAGCCATTAGGAGTGCAACCAGGTCACTCCATTGTTTGGAGATATTACACTGAATTAGTGAGTGCTTTGATCAAAAGCTCTCCTGCTATGCAAGTCCAAATATAGCAGAGTGCATTCTGCAAACATTAAGAGAGCAATCTTTGTGCAGCCTGATTACTCTGAATCACTAACGCAGACCGGAACACTGCGACGGAACAGGACTCCGCATGTGTCAAAGGTCATCGTGCTCAAACTAATACAGAAAACATTTTAAATATTTGTATTTATTTGGTTTACAAATTGCACTCACCCAAAATTTTATAAGGAAGAAGGAATTCTGGGGACCTTTTCCATAAAGCTCCTTCAGTCCTCCTTTCTTTTCTGGAAATTTATCATAAATCTGACGAATGTCCACCGACTCCAGGAGGGCGTCACTGTAGGAATGATTCGTCTGTCCGATATGTACAAACAGGTGCTTGTTGTACTGAAAGAGCAAGTAAATCCCAAATGAATGAAATTATGATGCAAACAACTTAAAACATGTAGTTTGAACTTTGTTTCACAAAAGTCAGCTAAATACTTTCCCACCAGAATGACAAAGAAACTATCTGTCTATCTACTCAAGGTCTAGAAAAAACTGCCCATCAATATCTACATATTTATCAGTAGAAAAGGTTAATTACTTTATTTTTTTGGACTATAACGTGCACCGGATTATAAGGTGCATTAAGTGAAATAACAGTCAGATAAGTCAAACTTTATTCAACTCATTCACAATAAAAATCGGTTTGAGGTCAGTAAGTTCAACAAGAGTTAATACATAAGGTGCACCTGATTATAAGGCTCACTGTTGATTTTTAATAAAATTAAAGGATTTTAAAGTGCGCCTTATAGTCTGAAAAATACGGTACATCAAAATAAGCTTGTTTAGACAAATAACCACAATTAGCAGTTGGTAATCTGGATAAAATAATAAATCAATGTAATAATAAATAACTATTTGCAACATTGCTTTTTTTTTTTATCTGAACATCTTTAGGCAACTTTATTTTTTACAACTTAAAAATAAAATAATAATCTGCTTCAGTAAAAACTAAGATCTTTGTTGTCCTACTCTGTTCTAAGAAAAATCTGAAATTCAGCACTGCTCCACTCAGAATCAGAGAATTAAAAAAAATATATAAATAAATCACGGAATAATAATAATAATAATAATAATGTGTTGTGTTGTTACCATTGTATGTTCTCATACAACGGTGAAGTTGGCTCTCTGCATTTAACCCATCCACCCCAGGTGGAGCAGCTATTGAAAGCACCTGGGGAGCAATTGGGGATGGGGGGGTCCTTAGACACCACGGGATGTGCAATGACTGGGGATCGAACCTGGGACTTCTGGGTCCCGGGTTGGCTGCCCTGCCTCTGCCCCAAACAAAGAAGAATGATGAAATAACTCTTCCAACAAACTAAAAGTGCACAAATTCAGTTTGGTTTGGGCTCATATACAATTACAAACACAATAATTAAGTTGAATGGACAAAAAAAAAATTGTGTTTGAAACTGTATGTTAAGTTTTGCGGTTGAAGAAAAACCTTTCGCTTGCTACATCCCTCTGAGAAATGTCAGGAGGAATGTAACCAGGCAGCAAAAATAAAACATGAGTTGATTACCAATCAATAAGTCTGTATATTGTGAAATGGCTTCAGCTGCTTTTAGGGAACGTTTTATAAAGCGGTTTATTATTATTGCAGGTTTTAATGCTGAGCATCTCTGCAAACCGGAGTTTCTCCACACTCGGCTCGCTCGCTGCCTGAGAAAGTGTTTCCGCTCTTTGTCCAGTTAGAGGCTGGATGCGAAGTGAGCGTGCTCGCCGTGAGAAGCACGAGCTGGTGTATTTTTATACTCACCGAGTCTGGGTCTCGCTGCTGCTCCAAGAAGGCAGCGAACTCCACCAGTCGGAGTTTGGACGTGCCGATGGAGCGGCCCTGCCACGCAGGAGCTGTGGGTGCTGGAGCTGCTGCAGGCTCATAACCTGCAGTTACAATAAAATTAAATTAAACTGGTTCCTTCCGTCTCTGTACTGGCTGAGAGTGGATTCTGATCACTTTCATTTCAAACACACAAGTAGGCAATTATACTGGCCTAAAATGTTCAAACGAATTTCAAAAGACTCCTGAACTAAAACTCAAACAAATTAAAACTATGTAGAATAAAGAATAATTTATGTTTCTAGCCATATTGAGAAAACTGTTTAGTGTTTTCAGTTTTTAGTCAGTTGAAGTTGGGTCAGGGAAGGGACAAACAGCAATAGTTGGACTGAAACGCATCAATTTAAACATGTATCTGTTTTACAGAGCTTGAGGGCACTAGAATATTTTTGTTTTATTATACTTTACATACTTTATTCACATTCATATTTCTGTCATTACAACTTTTGACAATTCAAGTTAAAAATATGAAGGGATGAAAAGAGAAGTCGTTGAAATGGATTTTATTCCAATGCTTAATCTGAGGGGAATGAAAGTTTAAAGTCTTCATATCTGCAAATCTGTTCACTCCAACTTCTGACCAGATTTCATACGTTTGTTCACTTAAAAAATTAAAAAATAAAAAGAATAAACTGTTGATTCTCTCAGGACGTTTCAAGTCTCTACAGAAAAGCTTAAACATGTTTTAAGTTAATCAGAGACTACGGCTCATCTAATATCATAAATAGTACATAGTATCATTTATATCTAGTATATCTATACATTTTTTTTATTGATGCTACATTGGCCGAGCTCCAAACAAACCAGTTTCGTTCTTTATTGTGATGTAAATACACAGTGGACCGCTCATCTCACAAACTGTTTGCTGCATACAGGAGCGTCTTTATTAACCATGAGTGTAGTGAACGGTGCCGGAGTTACAATATCGAATAAATCCTCACTTGAAATGGCGGTTGTGACTGTTGGCTGGATGGGATAAGGTTGCTGGGTGAAAGGCTTAACACTGAAACGGAAACAAACAAACGTGTTTTTAAGAGGACGAGACCGTGTGAAATGCCAAACGCCAGACGTGAATAATTTTATTGTCTGAAAACAGAAGTGCGGACACCTACTTTTGTGAGGATCCTGGCTGACCAGTCGATATCATCCCCTGCCATAACTAAAGATTGAAAACACAGAAGTTCACAACAGAAACAGCAGCTGTTAGAGACAAGATCAAAACAACTCTTAGAGTTCAGTGATTGGAGTTATCTTGACTGCCACCCCTTCTGATCAGGGTTTATCAGATTGGAACAGTTGTGCAAAGCTGCAGTGTGTAATGTGATTTGGCCCGACTGTCCGTGTGGTCGGCCCTACAGCTGCCCGGGGTGAGGGTGGACAGAAAAGATCAATAAGTGGGTGCCAAAGGAGCTCTTACCCCGGCTCCAGGGAAGGCAGGACGAGGGATGCCTGGCAGACCCAGTTTGTTGTGAATAGCTGTGGCAGAGACGATCTGAGCCGATGACATGGAGGCCATGCTCTGGAGGGCTTTGTCCTTCACGGCTTGGTCCTTTAACAGAAGTCACAAAAGGCTTAATGCTCACACAGAAGGGAAGGGGGGAAAGGGGGGGGGGCATGTTGCTGAGGTAGCAACAACCAGACAGTAAACACACCGAAAGCACCACCGGAGCCCTCTCACACCAGCAAGCAGGTTCAGAGAAGCACCATCAGCATCGCCATAAACTTCAAAATCCAATATTCTGATTCAAGTATATGCTCCAAAATAAAAGTTTACTTGACAAATAATCCTTAATTAATTTTTTTTTTTTAAATGCTCATTTGAAGGCGCTTCTCTCAAGGCTGCACTTGTCTGCAAGGTAAAAAAACAAAACAAAAGCAAACATCACATGTTAATGAATTTATCAAGAAAAACGGAAGTGAAGCCCTTTGTCAAGAGAAGCTCGAGATTCTTCATTTTGATTCATCTTTGATATAAAAATGTATAAAAACATAATTTATGCAATACTTTTTTTTTTTTGCAAACGCAGTGGTGGTGATGCTTCATGAATCTGGACAGTAAACGTAAGAGAAGTGCATTGCATGTTTTTCCCTTTGGAGTCGAAACTTGGTGTTATTTAGAGCCATGAACAAAACAGCAGTTTGTGCACGCTGGCAGGCCCCATGCAGAATCCCTGGCGGCAGAAGCTACAGATAAGCAGGCTGGCAGTGGATGGTGCTGAAGCAGACCGTGCGCTTGCAGGTGACGGCACACACGGACACCAAGAAACACAGGGCAGCACATATCGGCACAAACGCTAAATTAGTGGCACTGCTCAAAGCGAGCCTTCTTTAATGCAAACAATGCGTCACATGAAAGAAACACTTACCATGCTTGTAACCTAAATACAAACAAAAGGAAATTTATTATAAACTTGCAATGAAACTACTGTAATTTGAGTTATGCATAAACAATTCTCAACATCACAGAGCCATACATTAGTATAAAATCCTTTCACTTTAACTTCAGAATGCATAGCATTAACACACACGTGTGAGTAATTGACAAAAGGATAATAAAATGTGTATTTACTAATTAGTCTACTCTATAATTTTCACAATCTGATCAGTAGTCATCATCATTAGAGACATAAAAACAAGAGAACAGTGGTGTAATGACTGTAATTTGACTAAAACGCTATAGAAAAGACCCGACGCAGCAGGTTTTGATGCAGCCTAAATGAAGGTACAGTTGTATTTCTTTTTGCCACTGAACTCTAATTTGCTTTAAATGAGAAAAGACAGGGATTCATACAAAAGCTGTCTGTTTTTCTTCAGACAGACGCCTGTTCCCCTGAAAGACCAGGCATTGATGTGGCTAGCTGCTTGTCTAACTCAACACACACACACAGATTAATGAGGGGTCATTAATTCTTGTTGAATACTGGCAGAGGAGCAAAGTGTGAAAGTCAAAATGTATAGTTGGCTGCCTGAAAAAAGGAGGAAAAAAAGAGAAATTGGCACACGGGTAGAGTGTCCTTTGATACAAAATACTCAATACAGGTCAGTATTATTCAAGATTACTTCGTTCACAATGCTGCTTTTCCATTTTAATCTGCCATTCTAAAAAGCTCTCCTTCGTGATTTTAACAGATTTCACCATTTCTGAAATAAATGTCAGGAACGCTCTGAAATGATGACATCTGAACTGAGAGGAAGGGAAGCAGCCGACAGCCATGGCATTAAGAAAACCTGCGGTTTTCAACAGATTGGGGGAAAAAAGAGACAAGAAAGCAAAGAGAGCATTTGAGAAACAGCCGCTCTCCACTCTGAATGTGCGCCGCGGAGACTTTGGCAGCCCAAAAAGTTGTTTCATTGTCGAAGGAAGTAGAGGTGTAATATCGTCCCTATTTTTTGGGTTGGATACAGACACCCCTTATCTTGCCATGCGCCCTTTTTTTGGAGTTCACTTAGTAAAACATGAAAGCAGAGTTTCCCTCACAGCGCTCAGCCCCTCACCAACAGCCACTGCCAGCATGCAAAGTTAAAACTTTATATCAAACATGGTTCGCTTAAAAATTCAACCGCAACACCAAGATGTTGTTCAGTGTTATAGCCAGTCAATAGGAAATTATACTTTTCTCATTAACAATAATCTTATTGAGGTTTTTAACCAAACAGAAATTTTTTCAAGTTTTACATTTTCATCCAAGGCTCAATCCGACTTCCACTGTGATGCCGATGGAAGCATCAAACTCATCGTCTGCTTTTTGATTTATTATTATGATAGTTTCTAGAAATCCACAGTCCTGAATAAATCAGTTGTGCAGTAGTCCCTCGCTACTTCCCGGTTCGTTTATCACGGACTCGCTCTATCGCGGCTTTTCAAAATAAGACTGGACATGACACACAATTGGCTGATTGATGGACGAGCCGCACGATCGGCATAAAATAAATTATTTTAAATTATTTAGCACCCCCTGCACCTTTGTGCAACCCACACTGCAGGATAAACTTCCTGCTGCAGCTGATCAGCTGTTCCCCGTGCAGAGTGGGGAAGTGGGCGTGGCCAAGAGCGCTTGCAGGTGGCAAAGAGCAGAGGAGGCAGGGAGCTGAAATCATGACATTCTTTTAGAGCATTTAGCGTTTAGAAACATTGTTTAGAATATTGTAAGAGTGTGGGAAGGGTTTAA